CATATGTTTCAATGAACACACACACACACACACACACACACACACACACACACACATTCACCCAAGGACAGACACACAAACACACACTAACGACACTCTCTGTCTCATTCACACACACGCACACACTCACACACACACACACACACACACACACACACACACACGCATGGATGCGCCCCCGCTCAGAGGGAGGGTATTGAACAACCAGCAGCATATGTTCCACTAGTCAGAGAGCATTCATTCAAGGACAGACAGAGAGAGGAAAGGGGGGGGGGGGGCTTTGGAGAGGAGAGACGGAGATATGCGAAAGGCAAAGGAGCGAGGAAGGGATGGATGGAGGTGAAAAGAGATAAAGGAGGATGAGAAAAGGGAGGAGGGAGATGATTGGGAGGAGAGGAGGGAGTAGACAGAGAGCCCCTGCTCACCACTGGAGGCAAACACAGTGGCTGTGAGTGCTGATGTTGACATGGTGCTGGGGAGCGAGGCCACACTTTAGTCTTTTGCTGTTGTATAAAAACCTCACAACTCTGCGTTTAGGCAGGATTTCTGAATTAGAACCTGTGCCACAATTATGACACCCGGGGAATCATCACTCTGACCAGTATTCTACTACGAGTATGATCAGTCACACAAGTTCAGGACAAGTACCTTTACTTTACTTCATATTGTTGATTGTACTTCTGTACTTTAACATGAGTAGGATTTTTTGGAATTTGAGTGTTTTTACATTATTGTACTTGTACTTATACTAAAGTAAAGGCTGTGAGTGCTTCTTCCACCATTGCCAGCACTCCACAAGCAAACTGGAAAATACAGTGGAAGGAGATTAAACAATGTGCACTGATAAAAAAAAAAACAGATACAACTCGCTGATTGGTGAGCTTTAGAGGTGCTGGTGGGCATCTTTTGTATAATTTGGACAGAGCCAGGCTAGCCTGTCCTGTCCTGTCCTGTCAAGGCAGCAAAACACATTACATGTCTTCAGAATCCTCTGCAGGTTGAACTTGGCAAACCAAACACTCTCAGGGCTGACAGACTGGCTACTGTAAACAGCCGTACTTACACTTGTACTCTCTACATTAAAAAGATTATCCGATGCTGTCAACACACAATCGTCTAATGTTCAAATAAGACCACTCCCCTTTTTAAAACAGAAAAAAATCGTAAAATATTATAATACCAGAAAAATCAAGTCAGATTCCACAAAAGTTGCAGCATTTTAGTATGAAATTCCCTTTTTTTGTTTCTACAGACAGAGGTATACTTCCTGATAGCCATATGTATTTTTGCTGCCATGACAAAACACCTGTGGATATCAGAGTAGCAGTGGGAAGAAGTTGCTTCATGGCCAGTGTGAACAGGATGAATAATTATAGTGCGCAGAATGGAATCTAAAGAAAAACAAAACCAACAAATAATATCTGTAACTTTACTGTTGCATTTTTAGTTGTGTCTGATAGTGTCATCAGTTTTTGATTATAAACCTCAAGAACAAAGCTAAATGAGGGAAGCTAAACGCCTCTCTCTTTTTGGTTGGTATTTGTTCAGTTTTCCCTCCTTTTCCATGACTCTATTCCTTTTTTTAATCACCTCCCTTCTCTCTGTCCAGTTCCACTAACTACATGCTATTAGGCAGTAGTCTGGAGCACGCTATGATTGGTTACTCACACACACACTCACACACATAGGCCTACTGCAGTCAGGGAGTTGTTCCCTGTGTTTTGGCCTCAGCTAAAGAAAGCAGTTTATATTTATAGACTCTGCTGTAAATACACAAGGGTTATATTTGGTCACTATGGCTCTGTGTATTTTTGGACGCCTGTGTCACTTTGGTGCATGCCTCTGTAAAATCGACTAAAACAACTACAAAATAACAGAGCCATCTCTGTCGCCAAGATTCTTTCTTTGTCTGTGTACACACACACACACACACACACACACACACACACACACACACACACACACACACAACCAAGACAACAAACAGGCTTTCTTCTTTGCTCCTCTATCTGAATGCAACAACAGTTCAACTTCAAATATGCCTCATTGCATAAATATCTTCATAAAAAAAAGGGCTCCAAGATTTCTTTGTAATAAAAAAATTTTAAGTTTCCTTCTGTGTCCCTGAAGGTGACCCTTTATATCAGAAAATAAAACACCAATTACAACAACACCATAATCTGAGGGTACTTGTTAATTTGGTAGAAAATATGTTATCGACTATACACTCTATATGCTATACATTGGCTTCTGTAACAGCTGGTTTGTCTGCAGTTTGCTCAACAAGTGGCGTTGTGGTTGAGCTAATTACATTTTCTCCCAAAATACTATAATTGGATTGGATAAACATCATATACTAACTGACAGTCTCCAGTCATGTGAGTGGCTCTGTGATGCAAAGTGGTGATTTGGGATAAATGCTAATGTAAGCATGCTCACAATGACAATGCTAACATGCTGATGTTCAGCAGGTGTAATTTTTTCCATGTTCACCCTCTTA